CCATGACATGATACCATGACATGATACCATGACATGAGATGAACGAACTTGCAGATACCATGACATGAGATGAACGAACTTGCAGATACCATGACATGAGATGAACGAACTTGTAGATACCATGACATGATACCATGACATGAGATGAACGAACTTGCAGATACCATGACATGAGATGAACGAACTTGCAGATACCATGACATGAGATAAACGAACTTGCAGATACCATGCCATGAGATGAACGAACTTGCAGATACCATGATATGAGATGAACGAACTTGCAAATACCATGACATGAGATGAATGAACTTGCAGATACCATGATATGAGATGAATGAACTTGCAGATATCATGACATGAGATGAACGAACTTGCAGAGACCATGACATGAGATGAATGAACTTGCAGATACCATGACATGAGATGAACGAACTTGCAGATACCATGACATGAGATGAACGAACTTGCAAATACCATGCCATGAGATGAATGAACTTGCAGATACCATGACATGAGATCAACGAACTTGCAGATACCATGACATGAGATGAATGAACTTGCAGATACCATGACATGAGATGAATGAACTTGCAGATACCATGACATGAGATGAACGAACTTGTAGATACCATAACATGAGATGAACGAACTTGTAGATACCATGACACGATATCATGACATGATACCATGACATGAGATGAACGAACTTGTAGATACCATGACATGAGATGAATGAACTTGCAGATACCATGACATGAGATGAACGAACTTGTAGATACCATAACATGAGATGAACGAACTTGTAGATACCATGACATGATACCATGACATGAGATGAACGAACGTGTTGATACCATGACATGATACCATGACATGAGATGAATGAACTTGCTTTACCATGACATGAGATGAACGAACTTGCAGATACCATGACATGATACCATGACATGAGATGAATGAACTTGCAGATACCATGACATGAGATGAACGAACTTGCAGATACTATGACATTAGATGAACGAACTTGCAGATACCATGACATGATACCATGACATGAGATGAACGAACTTGCAGATACCATGACATGATACCATGACATGATACCATGACATGATACCATGACATGAGATGAACGAACTTGCAGATACCATGACATGAGATGAACGAACTTGCAGATACCATGACATGAGATGAACGAACTTGTAGATACCATGACATGATACCATGACATGAGATGAACGAACTTGCAGATACCATGACATGAGATGAACGAACTTGCAGATACCATGACATGAGATAAACGAACTTGCAGATACCATGCCATGAGATGAACGAACTTGCAGATACCATGATATGAGATGAACGAACTTGCAAATACCATGACATGAGATGAATGAACTTGCAGATACCATGATATGAGATGAATGAACTTGCAGATATCATGACATGAGATGAACGAACTTGCAGAGACCATGACATGAGATGAATGAACTTGCAGATACCATGACATGAGATGAACGAACTTGCAGATACCATGACATGAGATGAACGAACTTGCAAATACCATGCCATGAGATGAATGAACTTGCAGATACCATGACATGAGATCAACGAACTTGCAGATACCATGACATGAGATGAATGAACTTGCAGATACCATGACATGAGATGAATGAACTTGCAGATACCATGACATGAGATCAACGAACTTGCAGACACAAACAATCTGTGTAAATAAAACAACATATGTTCAGCTTTAATGATGAAAGGCTTACATGTTGTAATCTCTAAAAATCATCATTAGAGCTGAACATCTATTGTTTTATTGACACAAATTGTTTGTGCCTAAGCAATTTACTTTAAAACTTTATCGCATTCCAACACTCTTATATTGACTTGCGCCAAATTTCTACCGCTACCTCCGACTCGCCAATCGCACCGGTTCTCGACATCTCCTCAATCAGGGCCGGGAAACCTTTTCACGTTAGAAGTTGGCATTCAATTATCTGACGACAAATTAAGCTGCAATCAAATGACTTCAATTTCCAGGCGTACAGATTTGTGTACATTATGCTTTACAGTGTTTATTTCTAAACATGTATGTCAATAATTATATATATATATATATATATATATATATATATATATATATATATATATATATATATATCATATAGTCTATATAATGTGGTACGCTGGTACAGAGCCAAGTGGTGCAGATTGTAGACACTGAGTAAAGACACGCCGACGGATCAGGCTCAAGAAATGTACGCATGAGTATATTATAATATTAATTAATATGCATGAAAAAAAAAGCCCTAGAACCGCGGTTCTCAACCTGTGGGTCGCGACCCCTTTGGGGGTTGCACGGCTTTTTCACAGGGGTCGTCTAAGACCATCGGAAAACATATTTACTGTACAGTAATGAAGTAGCAACGAAAATAATATTTTGTTTGGGGGGTCACCACAACATGAAGAACTGTAATAAAATGGTCGCGACACTAGGAAGGTTGAGAACCACAGCCCTAGAAGTTCTAAATCTATTTAATTAGTTGTGTACGTGAAGTTTGTACAATAAATAGATTCGTTCTGTAAAATTTGAATGCAGTAAAAATGCCACACCCGGAGACCTACAAGGCCTTTGGTCCCGCCCCCGTCTAAACCATATACTCCCTCCCCCTTTTCCGTGCGTACGTACTAAGGATGACGTCTTATTACTGCCTTTTTTGACTGCTGTTCAAACCCAACCAAAATATCCCCATCCTGTCGTGTCACGTGATACAATGACAATGTTAGGTGTCCGGCTTGTTGCTGTTTCGGCCATTGTCATTGTCACAATGTGCCAAGCTTGTGGTCTGTTGCCGGGTAGGCCTGCGATTGTGTCAAGCTTGTTGTCTATTTGCTAGCCAGGCCAGGTAGGCCGACAAATGTGTCCTAATCCCACCAAATCGTCCAACTGGAACGCTGGTCAGTTGGTCAGTCCCTGTGTGATATTGTAATCAGGCGCCCACCGTGACCAGGCCATAAATACATCGGGACTTTTTGTGTGTGGTATCTAAACCACGTAGTAACTACTGGTCATTCTGAGGAGATTTGGACCTTGGATTGTACTGATATATTTGACCACTGATTATTTCTGTTGTGGCCTTTGGAGTAGTGAAGAATCCAGTTTTGGTGCCGCACTGAGTGGTACGTTTTTAATATACATCACTTAGTAGCAAGTGACTATAAGTCCCTTAGTGGTAAGTCAGTATTCATTACCTAGTGTTAAGTTATTGTGAGTCATTTTAAATTAACTTCTAGTTTCTACTGATCATGATAATGTACTGTGTTTGCGTTTTCATTATGATGACCAGGGGTGGACTGGGCCGCCGGAACACCGGGAACGATTCCCGATGGGCCGCTAGGACCGGTGATATAATAAAAATAAAAGTCATGAAGATAGGGCCGATTTTTGTTTTTTTTCCCGGGCCGCTTGAACTCCCCAGTCCACCCCTGATGATGACTATCGTTCAGAACTACCCCCCCCCCCAAAAAAAAAAATAAAAAAAATTATTAACATAAGTTGGGACATCTTTGTTGATGGGCTCGTGCACAACATTCATATATCCAAGTCATTTCAGAGATCGAAGAAAAAGTTAATGGTCGAGTGAAATACTGATCCACACTGCACTAAATTTTTTTTATATTGCCAAATGATAGAACAGGGCGGTCATTCGTGTCAAAAAAAACTATTTTATTCAATACTCTGTGAATTAGAATGTTATGACAGCGATCTTGTGATAAGCAGGTTCTCCTTCTCGACCCTCGGATCCATGGGTTCTTGAATAGGTTTCGGTGAGGTTGCTGGCTAGAGCGTTAAATTATATAGAATTAGATTGTAGGAATTTAAAAAAAAATATTTTAATGGGTGTCTAAAAAGTCTGAGTAATTCTTCAATTCCTCTTCTAAGCATCCACGTGACAACTCTTTGCCCAGAAAGCCAAATTTAAAAAGACAAAATTGAAAAGACAACCCCAACCCAATTCATTAGGCTAGCATGAACAATTTACGAAACCTCAAAGTACGAGTATAGAAGATTTTTTTTTGACGAGTTGCTATTTCAATTTGCGAGTTACAGATATGTCACTTAAAAGAATTGTATTGATTGCGTTATTGTGAGAACAACAAATGTCCATGTGTTTTCTTGTACCTTGAGTCCGTCCGTTATCTCAGTGTGTGCAGGGTGTGTGTCACTGGGACGTTATAAAATGGAGTCGTGTGTAATTCTGCCTCTATGTAAATCGGGTTGCGTGTCATTTTTGCCTCTCTAAAACAGACTCACTTGTTTTGTAAGCTGGATACGCCCCCTTGTGATCTCGGTATTTTGAATACGAAATCTAATGACCTGCTGACATCACACCCCCTAACCTCCTACCCCCCCCCTGTGAAATGCCAGTTTACTCACTTATTATTGAAGTGTTACATTATAAAACTTGATTTAATAGAAGACACTATCGGCCTACGCTTAATATTTCTACGATTGCTTGTTAGTGTATTCGTCAAGGCTCTGACACCACACACTCAAATCTCGATATATTTAGTTTAAGTTGACTCAAGCATCCGACAAGGCACAGTGGCTGAATGAATCAGTTAGTTACAAAATACTTGATCAAGCAAGTAGTTGATACTTGGCGAAAATTACAATCACTGACCATCAGTGATTATTTCAGAAATTTTCCCCCGGCAGGGGGGGGAGGCAGTGCCACTTAATTTATTGTTGGACATATTTTTGCTCCAGGGTGGCACTTGGCTTTCCCGGGGGGGGGGCTGTGCCCCCCGGAGATATAGCTGAAAGAAACCCTGGCAGGACCATCTTAAATTTGCATTGTTTAGCTGTATAACTGAGAATATTTAACTGACAGAGTGTAATTTATTATGATTTTAACTTTCTATATTTTCAACAGGTGAGCGAGTCAAAAAGAACTTCTGTGACGAAAGGCATCCTTGTAGGGGACGAGGAGATGTCTCACATCCTGTGCTCGGGATGGCTCATCAAATCACCGCCTGAGCATAAAATGAGCAGGAGTGTGAAGCTGCTCCGCTCTCAGTGGAAGAAACGGTTCTTTGTTTTGAGCCAGTCTGGCAGGACCAATGACGCGTACGAGCTGAACTACTTCAAGGACAAGAAGGGAGGCAAGAAGAAAGGCTCCGTCAATCTGACATTCTGCAGTCAGGTCACCGAGGCAGCACACCCGGAGTTTTTCCCCAATCTTCTGTCCGTGAAGACCCTGCACAAAAACAAGATCAGGAAATACTACCTGGCAGCGTCGACTCAGGGTGAGATGAGAGAGTGGGTTCACTGGCTGTGCCTTGTATGCGGACTGAACATGACCCCGACCCCAAGTGAACCACCCACTCTCGAGATGAACCCAGCACGGACCAATTCGACAGCGCTTGACCTATCCACTGGCACTACTGTGGAAGCCAGGTCAGGAGTTGGGTCAGACAGGGTCTCAAAGGTATTCTCCCGTGTGATGGATGACGTCAAAACACCACCTCCCATTCAGGGGTGTGTGCCGGAGGTGGAGGAGCCCAAACAAGGTTCAGAAACAGGTCGTGGTTCAGGAGATTCCGAGCCTTTCCAAAGTTTTATTAACTATTTGAATGAAAGCCTGTCAGCACCTGGGGATGGCTTGCAGAAAGATGAGACAAGCATCCATGTCGTTCCGAAAATTCCCAAACCCTTACCAAGGAGAAGCATTTCAAGAAACTTCGAGACTTCGCTGTCTACCATGCAAGTCATTGTCCAGCATCCCGAGGCAGAATCCTCAACTGATGATGATGATGTTGTCAGCACCCAGTCTTATGGATCAGAAGCTGAAGACGACACGGCTGAAGTGATCTACACGGTACCGTCGCTTCAGCCAAAGCCACACCGCACGATCAGTGACTACGATATCCCATCACTGATCTCACATGGTCCACATTCAAGCGTCACGTCCCCTCCAACGCCTGCTCCTCCTTTGCCTCACCGACAGAGGAAGGTCGTGCACAATTATGTCAACATACCGGTTCAGATCAGCTCTGAACAAGGGACTTTTTAATAAGCAACTGGAGTGAACAACCCTTTTGGCCAAAAATTGACTCTTCCATAAACAACTGGAGTAAACAACATATTTGGCAAATAAGTAACTTTTCCATAAACAACTGGAATACAAGATACATTTGAAATCTATCGTTTTGTTACTATCATTTCATCTAAACATTCAACATGATAAATTGTGAGTTTTGTGCTATGTATTTCAAACTATTATTAGGTTATCATGTCAAGGACTAAATTAAATGTATCAGTTCCTTTATCTGCTTAACAACAAAGTTTATGAAATGTAAATCATTCATTGTACAAATTATTCTTGTCCCCATTATTGATAACCTTTTCAGTAATAGTGACTACGTTTTTATCAACCTCAACATAGAATACATACTTATCAACACAGACTACATATCTATCAACATAGACTACATATCTATCAACATAGACTACATATCTATCAACATAGACTACATGCATATGACTATAGACTACAGACTGATCAACATAGACAACATACCTATCAACATAGACTGCATACCTATCAACATAGAATACATACCTACGAACATAGACTACAGACTTGTCAACTAAGAACATGTGTACATTCTGACGGTGTAACTATGTAACATTCCATTACGTAGTTTTAAAAATGAGTTCTTGTTTGCTTTAAAGCTATTTTACCTATGTATTGAACACTCTTATTTTTCTTAGAACCCACCCCAAGCACCTCCCACCCCAAGCACCTCGCACCTCACACCCGACCTCTAGGTAACAAGATCCCTTATGTAATGCTCTAAATTTAATTTATTTTCTCAAATCTCAAACTGATCAACAATTATAAAAATTATAATGGCATGAATAAAATGTGTTTTGGGGATATTATATCAGAGTCTTATTTTATCGATTGAAAAGTCAAGTGAAATGTGTTTTATATAATTGCATAATTTGCTGTAAATTTTGCTCTCTGTTTTACACCTTGATACATCAACTTCATATCAATGAGCAAACTTGATTACCCATTCTCATGACGAATCCCTTTGGCCTAGATATTGAAGACAATTTGCTCGTAATGCAAAGAATCGTAACTGTACGGAACTTGTGCAAGGATTATACAAGCGTTGATTGTGAAGCTTCAATTTGAATCTCAACGCCAATCATAAAGCTGTATATCAATACCATCTCAGTACAAAATGAATCAGTCTTGGCTCTTGCAGATAACCTCCCCTGTAAGTCCTACAACTACACACCACTGCTAAATTATGTTTAAAAAGCTGGCACACAGTGACTTAAGACATTATTTTTGTCGCCTCACGACACATTTCTGCGATTGGACCCCCAAAAGGCCATCCTTCTATGCCAGTGTCCTGCACGCACATTGCGGTGCAATGTATATATTTCCAAACCAACGAATTGTGTGGGAAGACATTTGTCTGAAAAACTGAATTTAAATAAACGTGTTTCAAATAAGCACACATTTTGTTAACTTAAATGTAGATCGAAGTGTTTTGTTTTCCGTTCAAATTCCAGACTACTTATTATGACAGAACTGAGATAGAAAGTAGTGAACTGGTAAATACCTTTGTATGGTTTTATACATTTTGTTTTATGCTTTGGATTTGTAGATGAGCAATACGTAAGAAAGGGACTGAAAAAACCAATATACAAAGAAAAGCGATACCAAAGCTTACGATATTAACACTAGTCAATTTGGGTATACTATTAAATGTAAAATAAATATATCAAATAAAAACTATGTTCACTTACATCACAGCAAGTCATATAGTATAGTCCCTGAAAGTTACAAATATTAATACACACAAGCGCACACACAAATACGCAGACACACACACGAATACAATTTTTTAAGGATATCATCAGGTCTAGGTAATCTAGCAAAATCTCTCTGCTGGGGAAACTGACGGCTTCTATATAGGGAAGTGAGTTTGGAACCCTCCGGAAAAGAAATTCTACAAATTGAATCACCCGATAGCATTCTTCAGAGCAAATTAGAAAGTAACCTACTTTTCCCAACCAAGGGAGGGTGGGTAATGGTATAGCGCTACACATTTCATCGCTGACGCCAGTATCGAAACAAAAAGGGCAGCTATATTAATAACAAATCTACTACACACAGTTTCGTCATTCAATAAAAAGCAGATGAACTTTTAATGATTAGATGTCTCTTCTCCGATTTCGACATAAACTAAACAACCCTTAAATTCCAACATAAATACTTTATTAAATTAATATCTAGCAGTGAGAGGTCGGGCTGAAAATTTGACAAATCATGCATACAAGTAACGCACTTTATAAGATTCCTAATTTAAATATCCCCCAAGGCTCGCAACCCCCACATTTTTCACGCCCCTGAACTATTTTAATATTTTAACGACCCCACCCGCTTCTACACCGCAGATTTATTTTACCCACTTTTATGGGCTACGTTCAATTTTTTTGTAAAACAGAGTTGCTTGCCCGTGGTTGCCGCCTACTTTGACCACTTTGGGTTTGGTTCCAGATTCACGTTTCTTAGTTTCTAAATTCGATTCCAGTAAGTTAAAAAGTAGGGTTATTTAAGATAAACCCAATAATATTGTTTATAAATAAGATTTATAATGTTTACTCTGAATAATTTCTCTCCTCTCAATTCACGGTGACGTCATCCGATCCATGTTTACTCAGCCAAACCACGACAACACAAATGATATGAAGGCGGGAATGATATTCACCAACCAAAATATATTCTATTTTCTCCCTGAAAATAACAATTTTATTCGTTCGTGAATTTACCCAATAGAAAAAACAAAAGAAAATATTACGCACCAAACGCAATTAAAATATCGCTTTTTTTAAATAAAAAAAAAGAATCTCATTTAGCGCAGTTAACGATAATTTTATTTCGTGAAATCAGTGTCATCATTTTTACTTCATATTCCCCTTGAAAAACAAGAAAAATAGCTTTTTAGTATTTGGGGTTGGGGCTGAAAATTTGAAAGAATGTGTTGTCATTGGCAACGTGTCTATTTTCCAAGTTTCAGGTCAATGGGTTGACGGCAAGTGGGTCAAGAAGCCGTCTGAAGATTTTTGCCAGCCACGAACAAAAGCGAAATTAATATAAAGGATTTTTTTTTTAATGAATGATGCAATGTTGGTTAACTTAATTAACTAATTACACGGTATCCACTATTTATGACACAGGGCACTGTGCTACGTGTATATAAGGTAAATGGTTTCTTACACATGTAGTGCTAAGACACTACAATCATAAATTTATTTTGTCGGACGGCATGCCATTGAACTCTTGAAGTATCGATGTAAGGTTCAATATTGATTGTATTAGCCGGGCGGTACGTAGGCCTATTTCCTGAACTAATGCACATTCGATGTTGTATTGATAAAATGAGATGAAGTCCGTCGATGAACTGGTTTCATCAACGTGTCACCCAAGTGAGAACAGTGACTCGGCCGGCCGCTTAGATTGTGCTCATGTTGGTCAATATTACACAATCTGATGAGAAAATGTTTTTCACCATGATTGTGACTTTTTTTTTTTTAAGCGTGAGGGAAAATGCTGCCAAAACTGATTAAAACAACCATTTGATCAGGGTTTCTTAACTTGTTGTTCTCGGATCCACTGGAGGCATGGGCGCCCGCAGAAAACTTTCTAGGGGGGGGGGCAAAAAAATCGATTAACTTTCCAGGGGGGGGGGCGCAAAAATTTTTTAGTAATGTTTTAATTTAGTTTTAATTTACTGTAGCGTATTTGTATGGTGAACGAACGGACAGGACATCAGCTTAGTTACTTTCTCTTTATTTTCTCTATACTTTAATAAATTTTTTGTCTGTTTTTGTCTAAATTTTTTAAATCCAATCAATCCAGGGGGGAGGGGGCAAGTACCCCCCTTGCCCCTACCTGAGGGTGCCCATGACTGGAGGGCTCTATGAAAAGGTTTCAGGGGTCCGTGAGCTGCATTACTTTTGTGATTTTATTTTATGAATATTAAAAATTAATTCTAAGAATTGGTTTATGGCCTTCATCTGGTCGACAAAGTGGGTCACAAAACTTAACAACTTTGAGAACTCTGCTCTAGCTGTATAAAAATAACAATTCTAGTTAAATTATTCTTTTTTGTGTGTTGGATTGTTGAATTGTTGGATTGTTCGATTGTTGAATCGTTGGATTGTTGAATTGTTGGATTGTTGGATTTTTGAATTTTGGATTGTTAGATTGTTGGATTTTTGAATTTTTGAATTTTGGATTGCTGAATTGTTGGATCGCTTTCTGCCCACGGATGCACTGCTGCTGATAAAGTCTTGTACATCTGAATTCATTTTTTTGATTAACCGCTTCCGATTCAAAATGTCACTCCCTACATT